CCTTTAAGCCTAGGACTTAGGATTAAGAGGTAGAGGGATCTCTGTGAGTCCAAGGCCACCCAGATCTACACAAGAGTGAATCAGTCTAAAAGAGAATTATAGCTCAAACCTTTAATTCCAACATTAGGGAAGTATATAAGACAGAAGCAAGGTCTCAGAGAGGCATTCATTCTCCAGCCAGCTGAGGAAAGGTTATAGTCTGAGGCTTGGTGAGAGCTTGTGGAGACAGGACCAACCCATTCAGCCTGAGGTAGAGGTAATAAGCTACTGGCCAGCTGCTTTGCTTTTCTAATATTCAGCTTGAAGCTTGAACCCCAATATCAGTCTCCGGGTCATTTATTTATGTGTGCTATAAACAACAACCACACATTAGATATGAAATATTTCAGTATGGCAACTCTTTGGAGGTAGAGGCAGGGTGATCAGGAATTCAAGGTCATTCTTGTATACATAGATACTCTGAAGATCAGCCTGGGCTACATGAGACCCTGTTTTAAGCACAATAAACCAAAACACAGTACTCAATTTGTCAAGAGTATTTACCCTCAATCTAATCACGAGTATTCAAAGACAGAATGTAGACCATTCTATAAGGCCACTAGCCTGAACTCTTGAATACAAAAGCTAGGCCTGGTGGCTCATTCTTGTAATCTTGGTGCTAGGGAGGGTGAAGCAGGAGGATTCCCATGATTGTAAGTCTACTATGGGCTACATGATAAATTTCAAGCCAGCCTGAACCACAGAGTAGGATCCTTTCTCAAAACAACAAAAAAATCAAAATGGTGACAGCACTTGCATAGAGGTAAAGACACTAAAGAGATGTGTCATTAAGTGCATGGTGTAAAACCTGATTATAGCTGGAGTGTGTAAAATAAAACATTAAAGGCATTTTGGTGGAAACCTGAGATTTGATGGATGTAAAAGGAATCCTTAATTGGTCTAGATAAGAAAAGGCTGGAGTGAGACATAGAGGGAAATGCTGAGAGAGATCAGAGAGAATGAACAAGCCACACCACACCTTACCTCCTAAGCATCTCCAGAGAGAACAGAAGAGGGCGATTTCCAGTTTGTCCCTGCTTATATTCTGATTCTGACCAGCTACATCACTTCCTGCCTGTCTGTACAGACCTCCAGACGTCTAAGGTTAGCTCGTGGCAGTTTCTGTCCAGCTACATCACTTCCTGGGATCACATGGCAACTCCTCTCTGCCTACACTTCCCTGAATCCTCCTTGTCTCCTCGTCCTACCTATCATCCTGCCTGACCAATCAGTGTTTTATTCATCAACCAATAAGACAAACATATACAAAGAATAACATTCCTCATCAGATGGATTTATAGCATGATGATTATATTGCTCAGTTTTGATAATCATGTGATTATGTAAGAGGTTGACTATGTGCTGAAATATTCGGGAAAAACATGTTGTAATCTCCACAAGTTTCTTTCAAATAATTAACAAATGATATATGTAATATAGACATACTTATTGATAAATCTACACTTATATATGTACATCTGAGAGAGAGAGAAAGAAAATGCAGTAAGATGTCAACAAACGAAAGGATAGCAGGGATTGAATCCTCGACTTTCCTGAATATTTAAATTTTTTAAGTCAAAATATATGGATAGGGGAGTTTAGTACATTACCTACAGAATTTCCTGATATGTTAGAGAAAGAAAACAAGAAAATAAACCTCCAGAGCCACAGGCATAATTTCACAACAAAATATACAAAGTGTGGATACTTCCCTAAATGACTTGAACTTTTAGAAGTCAGAGCATATTGCAAGTTGGATGCCATTCATTAAGATAGCTAAATAGGATCATGAAGGGGGGGGAAGTACTATGACGCTTATATCACCCTAGGAAGAATGCCCTGTCAGACTAATATGAGTGCTTCTATTCCCTTGATAAGTCTGTCTACAATGAGAAGGATGAGTCACCAGACTGCCATAGGCTGATGACATTATTTCTCAATTCAATTTGATGTAATCATCATCAACAATAGCCAGGTATTGAACGATTCTGTGTGCTCATTATGGCAAATACAAAGATGAATAAGACCCTCAAGGTGCTTAGAATCCACTTGGAAAATAAGAAGATACATTGAAAGATAAATAACAATAAAAGGTGGCACATAAAAACCAAAGAGGAGCTTGGACAAGTACTGAAGTAGGTCAAAGGAGGGACAGACTATAATGAGATAGTCATGGCAGGCATCCTTCAGGAAATGAACAAGAGAGAAGAGTTAGAATGGCATAAAAGCAAGGAAGTGGTTTGGGGCTACGATGCAGAGGAAGACTATGAGCCAGGATAGTATAGGGCTCTGTAGGTGGAGGGGTGGGAAGACAGACAGTCTTTTATGAGTGTGGAGATCGTGTAGAGAATGTAGACTGTGTGGTAAGGTAACTAGGTGGCCTTGCAAAACCCTGACATCAGAGCCCAATGTGAAGAAATTAGCCATTAGCTTAACTGAGCTTTTCACAGCTCATCTCTCTCTCTCTCTCTCTCTCTCTCTCTCTCTCTCTCTCTCTCTCTCTCTCTCTCTCTCTCTCTCTCTGCTCTGCTCTCTAGTTCTTTGCCAGACATCTGATCTTTACTGGCTTCTTCCCATGTCTTCAAGGTACACAGACAATTCTTTTCCCTTTTCCTTTCTCCATTTTCATTGTTTTTCTCCCTGGTATTTTTATGTTGTTTTTATATTCATGTTTCCAAATAAATTTTCTTAACATGCAGATTATTTGACTTCAGTGCTTCTTTTACTTGCTTATTTCTCATCCTTTGTTATTGTGTGTCAAATTTTCTTGCAGAATAAGCAGTGTTCTTTCAAAGGTTTCTAGAGGCTTTTTGTCATTGAATCAATGAGCTTATTCTCAATATTCATTTACATTGATCCTTCTGTTTTTAAAAGCATAAAGGAATAAAACCAAAGACAAGAAAGGCCCTTGAAACCGGGGTGATATGTGCATAGTCCCAGCTATTCAAGAGACTAAGGTAGGAGGATCATTGGAGCCCACTTGAGTTCAAGGCCAGCCTGGGTAACATAGCAACCATGTCAAGAGATTGGAGGGGGTATTTAGGTAACTAAGAATAGAGAGCAGCTTCCTCTAGCTGATTACAGGTATCTATTATAAACATATGAATAACTAGATTTTTTTCTTCCAGACAGCAAGAATGAGGCCAAATCTGTCTGCTTTCCTCACTTCTATTCACCATTAAATTGAAATAGCTTGTCAGTGAAACGAGGCAAGGGGGAGGGAGACGGCATATAGATTGAAAGACACAAAAACCATTTCCACTGTTGATGGCATGGTTGTATATATAGACAAATTAGAAAAATTTGAAAAACATAGATTTGATGGGTGAAGTTAGCACTTTCAGATGTTACAGTATCATTGTACAAATTTTGATAGTCTAGTAATGAATCATTGAAAAATAAAATTTAAAGAAAGCATTTTCAGCAACATACAAAACTTTGAAATAATAGAGGATAATTTTTTCTTAGTTATGAATGCCTGGCCTTAGCTTGGCTTGTTTCTTGCCAGCTTCTCTTAATTAAGGATAATTTTAACAAGTGTGTAAAAGACTTTTATACTAGATATTGCAAAATGCTATCAAGGGGAATTCAAGATACAGATAAGTAGATTGGAAGACATAAGGGTATTGTTGGAATGTGAATTCTCTGCAAGTTGGTCTATATTCAATACATTCCAATTAGACTCTCAACATAGCATTTTGAAGAATTGGTGCTCCAATTATAAAAGGTGTGTGACAAGGCACAGATACTAGAATAGTTGGAATAATTTCTGAGGAGTGGATGGGGTGGGTTGGGAGGAAGGTGGGCAGAGCAAAAGGAAGGGAGGAAGTGGGAACTGGGGTTGGTATGTAAAAGGAGAAAAGACTGTTTTAAAATTTAAAAAGCAAACAATAATTAAAAAGGCAGGAGACCTTTAGCTACCTGATTTCAGAGCACTGTGCACAGCTCTTAGCATCAAATGAGTGTGGGAATGAAATAAAGTCAGCTGACTTAGGAGGGATAGCTCAGGTAAGATATACTTGCTGTAGAAGTTTGATCCCTGGAACCCAGGAAAAGGTAGAAGGAGAGAACAACTCTACAAAGCTGCCTTCTGACTTCCATGTAAGAGCAAGGTAAACTGACTCCATCAGGAAAAGCCACCTTGGCTGACTCAGCTTCAGCCAAGGATCCATAAACAGTTCCAAGGAGCACCCAAACTGTGCCCACCCCGGACAAAGTGACCCCATCTGGGTGGTCAGACAATGACTAATTTTGGTAAATAACATCTTCTTGTCACAACTGTCCTAGTAGGCAACCGTTAGTAACAATTTTGAAATTCCCCTAGCCCCCACATCAATGAATCCAAAGGTCACCTATTCTTACCCAATCCTGAACAGTCAAGGCACGTACCACCCTGCTTGTGTTTTTTTTCCTTTAAAAGCCCCTTGCAATTAAGGCCATGTACCCTTCTCCTGCAGCTGCTGTGCCAGTTTGCTGGGTCCCTGCCGAGACTTGTAAGTTAGCATTAACCCTTATTCATTTGCATCAGTGAGTTGGCTCCTTGGTGATCTTTTTTGGGGAGTCTCATGAACTTGGCATAACACCATATGTGCACTATATAGCACAGTTGTGCTCACACATACATTACACACACAGTGATGATGATGATGATGATGATGATGATGATGATGATGATGATAAACGTTTTCATTAAGAAGGTCTAGATTGACCCATAAATATATGGTCAACCAATGTCTGGCAAAGGTGCCAGGGCAATTAGTACAGGGCAAATATGATTTCAACACATGGTTCTAGATGACTAAACATCCTTTAAAAACAAAACAAATAAAACCAGAAACTCCATCTTTACCTGATGCTGTACAGAAAATGTCATCTGAAATTTTACTTGATAGGCAATGGTTATAGACTCAATGGTTATAGACTCAAAGGTAAGAGTTGATACTCTGGAGCTGGAGCGGTGGCGTTTGGAGCAGACACGAAACTGGATGGCTTCTACAGGGAGCCAGGCCTCTGATATAGACAAGATTTTTGGATTCTTCAATGATGGCGAACCCCCAACCAGAAAGCCCAGGAAGCTACTTCCAAGCTTGAAAACCAGGAAACCTCGAGAACTTGTGCTAGTGATTGGAACTGGCATTAGTGCTGCAGTTGCACCGCAAGCCCCAGCCCTGAAATCCTGGAAGGGGTTATTTCAGGCCTTGCTTGATGCTGCTATTGATTTTGATCTTTTAGAAGATGAGGAAAGCAAAAAGTTTCAGAAGTATCTCCATGGAGACAAGAACCTCGTCCATGTTGCCCATGACCTCATTCAGAAACTCTCCCTTCATACCAGTAATGTTCGATACACATTTTTCAAAGACTGTTTATATGAAGTATTTGATGACCTGGAGTCAAAGATGGGAGATTCTGGAAAACAGCTCCTTCAGTCTGTTCTCCATCTGATGGAAAATGGAGCTCTAATATTAACTACAAATTTTGATAATCTTCTAGAACTATATGCAGCTGACCAGGGAAAACAGCTTGAATCCCTCGACCTTACTGATGAGAAAAAGAAAAAAGTCCTGGAGTGGGCTCAGGAGAAGTGGAAGCTAAGTGTGTCACACATCTATGGGGTCTATACCAATCCTAGTGGCATTGTCCTCCACCCAGCTGGATATCAGAATGTGCTCAGGAACACTGAAGTTAGGAGAGAGATTCAGAAACTCTATGAAAACAAGTCATTTCTTTTCTTAGGTTGTGGCTGGACGGTGGACAACACCACTTTCCAGGCCCTGTTCCTAGAGGCTGTCAAGCATAAATCTGACTTAGAACATTTCATGCTGGTTCGGAGAGGAGATGTAGTGAGTTCAAGAAGCTTCGAGAAAACATGCTGGATGAGGGGATTAAAGTCATCTCCTATGGGAATGACTATGCTGATCTTCCAGAATATTTCAAGCAACTGACATATGAGATCTCCACAAGAGGCAGACCAGGGATGGCAAGAGAAGGCCATCTAAATGGTTCATCTGCAGCACACAGGGAAATAAGAGGCTGTAGTACATGAGCAAGCTGGAGAAATCACCATTAGACCCCGCTGTGGGGCCTTCCTGTGGATGTGGATGTGTTTACCAAGCAAACATACAAGAACTCAGCACAGCTCCCAGGAAGTACCAATACCCACAAGCTGAAGCTTGGGGTAGAATTGGATTGCAGTGTTGCACCTTCCCTTCATGCTGGCTGTTTGATACTCTGCTGCCTAGTCCAATTTAGTACCCAATGACATCAGGACCCAATGCAGCCCCTACCTACCCCAAGGCTGGACATGCTTATCTACACAGCAGAACAATGTGATGGGTCTTAGATATGTATACCAGCTTGTGAAAACAGTTTGATGGGTCCCTAGGAAGCATAGTACACATTTGTCACATACCCTAGCTATTCAACTCTTAGGTATTTACCTCAGACAAATAAAATATTATCAGTAGACATATATATTCACAGATTCTTTAGTCACAGCAGCTTAAAATTAGAAGCAAACATTGATTAGCTAATGAAGCTCCTTTACACATAGTAGCTTAGAGTTGGAAACAACCTAAATATTCATGAACAGGTAGATGAATAAATCAAATGTTTGACACACTACTCAGCAATGAAAGGTAATAGCCAACTGATATTCTCCAGTCATGGATAAATCTCAAAACATTATGTGTTGATTGAAGTGACATAAAGAATTTAATCCCTGTGAGTCCATGTGTATGAAATTCTAGACTAGTTAAAATAAACAATAATATTAAACATATCAGTGATCACCTAGGGCTAAGTGCTATCTATATGATGTTTATTCTAGTATAAATATTAGGTATAACTCATGAAAGTATTCACTTTGAATAGGTGTACTTTAACAATGCTAATTATATGATTATAAGTTGATTTCTGGAAAGACATAGAAGAGAGAGTAAGAAAGCCTATCCTTTAATCCAATGAGAATATCAAAGGTAGAGGAATATAAAGAATTAAAGAAAATCTAGAAACTTCAGGAGATTGTGGTTGATTGTGTTACAAATGAGATGTAGGATGTTAGTATTCAGATGCAGGAATGTCAGGATATCTTCAGGCTAAGTTTGCAAAATCCAGGATACCAGAGACAAAATAATATTTAGAAGAAGAAGAAGAAGAAGAAGAAGAAGAAGAAGAAGAAGAAGAAGAAGAAGAAGAAGAAGAAGAAGAAGAAAGGCAAATTACCTTCCAGGAAATAGAAATAATAATGCAGGGAGTAGACTTGACAACAACTGAAAGCCTGTGACACTGGGAAAACATCATCACATCCAGAGGGGACAACAGTGGCAAACGAATATTTAATGCCATTTACAAACATTTTTCAGACACCAGGTGACAGCTATAATAGCTTATCCATGCTTAAAAGCTCGCCAGCATATGCACTTAATACTCATACAGTTTTGCTGTGTGAAACATACCTTACTTAAATGATTTAAAAATTTCTACTCTCTCGTATGTTTGATTGCTTTTGTTTTCAACTGAAAATACTTTTTAACCAATGTTAATTAGTTTTATTTTATATATTCTATTTAAGCTCAATCTTCTGTCTCCTCTCCCTATGCACATGTTCCATGTTCAAGTATTATAGAATACCCCGTAATTTGTTGTAGGAGCTTAACTTTAAAACTGCCACAGAACTTGGTAGATTTTGGTCCTTCACATGTTCCCCTGTGCAACAATGCTACATCTCTTCTGGGATTCACTTAACCAACCTCTTTGATTGTATGTCCTGAGGAAACACCACCAGAAAGAGGGTCCCCTCCAAGAAAGCCCCCAAACATTCTCCCTAGCTTGTTACCTTACTAGCATGACCAAGCTCTGGTACAGCTTGGTAATGATGGAGTTGTGGAATTCCTCCAGTTTTTTCTTCTGCCAGTGTTCAGCACCTTCCTTGTCTGTAGTTGGATTCTTATCCAGTCAACTGATGATTTCATCATACTCATCTAGAATCTTCTGTTTGTTCTCATTGATCTTACCTTGAAGTTTCTCATCTTCAGCTGTTGCTGTCATGCTGAATGCACAGGACTCCAGTGAATTTTGAGGTGGTACCTTATCTCTCTGCTTCTCATCTTTAGCTTTGTGCTTCTCATCTTCCTGGGTCATGCACTCCTCCTTGCTCAAGTGACCCTTGTTGTCAGTGATGGTGATCTTGTTCTCCTTTCCTGTGTTCTTATCTATAGCAGAAACTGTGAGAGTGCCATTGGCATCAAAGTCAAAGTGACTTCCTTCTGAAGAATGCCAAGAGGTGCTAGAGATATGTCTATGAGTTCAAACTTTCCAAGCAGTTTGTTATCCTTAGTAATGGTCTTTTCACCTTCATATAACTGAAGGAGCACACTCAGCTAGTTGTCAGAGTAGGTGCTAAAGATCTGTCTGCTGGATAGGCATTATAGCATTGTGCTCAGTGAAGACAGTCATGACTCCATCATCAGTTTCAGTACCAAGAGAATGAGGAGAGACATCTGAGAACAGCAAATCCTGAACATCCTCAGACTTGTCTTCAGACAGGATGTCCTCTTGGACAGCTGCTCCATATGTGATAGCCTCATCAGGGCTAATGCTCACATTCAAATCGTTTCCATTGAAGAAGTCTCTGAAACTTCCGAATCTTGGGGATTCTGGTAGAACCACTCACCAGGACAATATCATAGATCTGTGACTTGTCTAGTTTGGCATGTTAGAGGGTTTTTTCTACAGGGTTCAGAGTGCCATGGAACAGGTCAGCACTCAAGTCTTCAAATCAAGGACAGGTAATAGAGGCATAGAAGTCAATCCCCTCATGAGAGAATCAATCTCAATACTGGCCTGGGTACCAGAGGAGAGGGTACATTTAGCCCATTTACAAGCCTACATTACAGATGTAGGACAGCTCTCTTGTTCTCACCAATGTCCTTCTTGTATTTGCATTTAGACTCAGCAATAAAATGGTAGACCACTAGATAGTCAGTCTTCTTTACCCAAATGGGTATCTTCAGCTGTAGATTTCACCAAAAAATTCATTCTCAATAGTGAGAAATTACACAGCAAAAGTACTACCTTCCAAATGAATAGATTTGACACATTCCCTTCACCTCTAACCTTATCTAAGCAGTAAGCCGACACAGTAGCAGGTTTATTGATAGTTAAAAATACATTGAGGCCCCCAATAGTTCCAGCATCTTTTGTTGCCTACTACTGACAGTCATTAGTAACAGTCTTCCCAATATAGGCTTCTCCAATTTCCTTCATCTTTTTTGAAACCATAGAGGATACCTGCCCTGGGAAGAAACTTTTTGTCTCTCCTTTGTTTTCTACTTGGACTTTGGCCTGCATTCATCATTCACCACCATGAAGGACCAATGCTTCATATCACAGTGAACAACAGCATGGTCATACCTGTGCCCAACCAGATGTTTTGCATCCAAACTATCCTGGTGGGGTTCACTGCTTCATTCTTCACAGCATCTCCAATTAATTGTTCTGAATCAGTAAAAGCAGCATAGCTTGGTGTGGTTCAGTTGCCCTGGCCATTGGCAATTATTTACATCTTTCAATGCTGGAAAGCTCCCACAAAGTCATAGGTGACACCCAAATCATTGTCTGAGGGGGGAAGTGCTTCTGTGTATGTTTATCTTATTGACTGTTTAATAAAGTTCTGCTTGGCCAATGAA